GTCGCTAATAAACGATTAACACGAGTCAACGAATTTGTAAGTAAGTCAACGAATTTGCTGCACGCCATTTTGTTACACGTTCCGTAATTCTACTGTTAACGGAATTAAATCTTCGATGTTAAAATTGTTCATGGTATTTTAACATTAGATTTACGGGGAACCAAAATCAGCTGTTTCATATTAGTTTATAAAAGTAAGAATAAGACGTTCATTTTGATTTTTAACGAGTATTATTGTAATATTTGCTTCAAACAACACGTCTATTGAATAAATAACTCATCAATGCATCTTTACAATCTGAATAATCGTAAAATAATATAAAATAAAAAAGATATATTACAATAAAAATGTGTCTTGGAAGCTAATAAAAAGTTAGCCGTATTTGTCCGACGAAGTGCGAATGTTAGTTCATTTATTCTAAATTGAAACAAAATTTGATTATTCTGTTATGGTGACTCATAGGAAGCAAAAAATGTCTCGTTCTATCAGAGAAATAGATTAGATATTTTAAACTTTAGACATTTTATAAAAAACATCGACAAGGTTATTCTTAAAATTATATCTTGCACGTGGTAAAAAAGAAACCAAATTAATAAATCCGTGAATGAAATAACAATATTTATGCTTTCAGTGAAAATAACAGAAAATAATTGATTTTCTTTGTAAATACATTATTTGACAGGTTGTTAATTTCTTCGAGTTAGAGGATTTTCATTCTGGTTTTATGGGAATGCGTTTTATAGTATATTCGTAGGTAGGGGGAGTTTCACGAAAAAATTCGTGAAAATTCGGAAATTTCACAGAAGCTGGCTACGGTTAATTTCGGTGGAGCTGCGAGCAAAAAATTCACGATTCACCGTCAAGTGTAACGTCGAGCAGAGATAGACGCATTTCTAGCAGAATAAAAAATGTAATATACGAATAAATAGTGTTGAGCCGTGCGTTTGACCATAGCACGGAATTGCCAACGGTACGTCACGTCGGACGATTCTGTATTATGCTGTCTGTGTATATATTTTGACATAGTCTTGCTGTGACACATTTTTCTTGCGTGTTCGAAATAATAAAATGAAATTGTGTGCGCAGGATAAGCGAGCAAGATGTTAAGCGAAAGTGGTTTCGAAATATGCTCGTTGATGCTTTGTTGCTCTTTCTTCTTCTAGAAATATGAGAAGTAATATTGTGTGTATGATGAAGACGTCAAGAAAAAATCGTGTCTAAATAATTTATTTATCGACATTGTGTTTCTTTTCTTGTTACAATTATTAAAAATTCTGTAGGAGGAGAAAATTCAAGATAGGGGTGTTAAAAGGAAATAATTTTAAGATGTCGCGGTTGTGGACACTTCGTTCTTCCTATTTATAAAAATGTTAATAATAATATTGAAAGAAGAAGTACAAGATGAGAATGTGAAGGGAAAGTTCCTTCTTATTTCTAAAACTGCTATAAATAATATAGAAATCAGGATTGGAAGATGCGGATGTTAAGAGAAAATTATTTCAAGATATTATACTGATCGAAATTTATAAAAATAGGTTAGAAAGAAGAAGTGCACGATGAGGAACTTATGAGAAGATAATTTCAAAATATTTTAATTGTAAACACTTTGTTCTGTTTTGTAACCTGGTTTTAATTTGTTTTAATTTGTAACCTGGTTTTTCTCCCTCTGAAAATTGCAACAGAACTAGGCAAAATGTAATTTTAGAATATCGTACTTTTTGACGAAATAATTTATTCTATCGTTCGATGTCGCTAATAAATTCTACAATACTCCGCTTTTCTAAATTTAATTTTTCATTTGTAGAACAAATAGCTTCTTTTAGACCCCAAATGTTGTTTTCAAGAAGTATTATTTCTTTTATATCAGCAATTTTTTCCAAACAATGCAATTGAGATACTCACTCACAATCAATAAAATGACTCTGGTAGCATCTCTCTTGCAGAATACACTGAATAAATACTTTAGATTAAGCAAAAAAATAAAAAAATTATGATCTTGGACATCAAGATGAGACTTTACATATAGGGCAAAGTAGGTAGAATTATTTTGCTCACGATCCCGGGTTCGTCCTCGATGTTATAAATAACTAATCTATTCTTCCGTAGACTCCAGGAACAAACGGTCATAGAAAATACATAGAGCACCGTCCCAGTCGTCCTTAGAAGAAACTTTGTTTCTTTTCTCATGAGGAATAGTTTCCTTTTGTTTTTTCTTTCACTCCGGTCGAGGTCCAGTTATTCTTTTTGCAGAAAACGTCGCGCCTTTCCATTCGAGCAATTAAGTATTTTTCTATGCATATTGTTTCAAATATCAAGATTAATTAAACGGCGTAGTTTCATTCATTTAGAAATCATCATGCTAAATTAATACTGGAATTACCAGACAAGGAATAATGATGGAATTTTTTTATTTTATTTTTATCAGGACATTTTAGTGAAAAATCGGCGAAATATCATTTACTGCCACTGCAATGAAAGTTGCATGGAATTTCATTACATGTATTTAATTTAAACGAGGATATACTTTTTCTATTCATAATTTTAATATAGATTCTATTAATTGGATTCTCTCTTTAAAGGTTTTTTATATTTTCTTTCCACATGAAATGGAAGTATATGAAATCGTTATATTCAAGTATATAATTTGTACAAATAATAACATTTTTATATGAATGTAAGGATTGACATCATTCTGTAGCGTCTTCTCTACTATTTATATTTACGTGTATGACAGTTATTTGGTATAATAGATGCATAATAGGCGTGAAATCATTGACTGAGCTAGGGGGATGCAATTGTTCCAGTAGATTGCCTCAATCAGAACTGTGTTACCAACTTGCTAGCGTGAGAATACTTAACCTATATTTCGTATAGCAAAATAATTATAGCTAAATGTCGATCCAGAACCTTGTAGAGTACTATATTTAACGATTTCATACATTGTGCTGTACAAAAGATATTCTTAACATCTGCGATACCCTCAATATTAACAACATTGCCAAATATCTCAGCATTCTCTCTTAAAGGATTTGCAAATACTGTTATATTTCTTTTAACTCTTTAAAATTGATGAGACAAGTGATTGTGCGAGCAGCATCTGTATCTTGCAATTAATGCAGACAGTTTCTATTTTGCACAAAAATCTGTTGTCTAATTATCAATAATCGCAATATTCTTTTCTCCGATATTATCTTCCTTAAACTTTCAATATCCTATGTCAATATGAAACTTCGTCATATCATCAATGTTTTCTTAATATTGAATACATTTTTACTTATTTAAAACTTTTAATATGTAAACAAATGATTTCTTCAATGATCAAATGTTCAGCTATTGCGTTCTTAGTTATATGTAAAGATAAAAAAATTACGTAAAAATAAATTAAAGTAATTAAGCTAAAATAAATTAAAAATAAATTAAGCTGAATTAAATTAAAAATAAATTAAGTTAAAATTAATTAAAAATAAGTTAAGTTGAAATAAATTAGAAATAAATTAAGTTTTGTTAATAGTCTGAAGATGGCAGAGTTCTCTCTTCCTTTTAAAAAATTACATTTTTGGCACTTGCATTGTTTTTACAAAGCCCTTGAATTTATGCTAATAATCGACAATCAACACGAAGAATCAGTGGCAAATATTTCCAGCATGATTACTCGAATAGTCCGCGTACACGCGGTTTTTTAATGGTTTACGCAAACGTTGAAAGCTGCCTCTGTGCATGCAGAATATTTGCACAAGCTCGGCCGATTGACAAGCACGTTTGATTATCTATTTCGGACTGCCACCGAGTTCGCGATGTTTCGTGTTGAAAAAATGTTTCGCTGTTGGAAAAACCGTGCCCGTTATTGCGCGACAAGGTAAGCATTGTTGAGCAGCAGTAATCAGAATCGATTCAACGCGTTTTCCAAAGCGTTAATCGATTCGGAGCGCGAAGCTTCAATGAAAGAAAAGTTTCTTTGTTAAAGAAAATCGCGGGGACGTTGTAACGGTGGACGATAGGCATTTTTCCCACGCAATATCGCGTTGGTCTCCAGTTGAAATTCCGTCTCGGTTGTTTCTTTTTTCAGCGGTTTTACTTGTCGAACGATAAACAAAGAAGTTCGAACATGGTTCGCCGCTGCATTTTAATAAAATGGAAGCTCGAGCGAAACACTAAAATGAGAACGCTTTCTGCATTGGTTTATTGTTTCCGAACAGGTGCTTGAATTCGCGGAAATTTCATTCTTCTTATTTTCGAGGAGGGAAACTGCGAACGCGTTCGTCGAAAGGTTACAGCTCGTTTCTCGAATTTGTTAGGTATAGAAATGTATCATTTCTCTCGGATGGAATTTTAAAAGTGATACGAAATTTTATTTGTTTTTAAGAGCTCAGATACTCAATTTACTTTCATGGATGAATTGTTTGAAAATATGTTTATTGTCTAGAAACTGTTTACACGTTTAGTTATATAAATATTTAGAGGACTGAAAGTCAGATATTTCCTACGTTAACATGTATTTGTAGGGTTACGTAAACTTTTAACGTTTCGCTTTGTTTTCGTCGGAAATAAATATTTAGAGCGTTTGAAATGGAATAATTTCTTTGTCATTTCGTAGTTTACTTATTACAATCTTAGCTAGTTAACGGTTTTTGGATCGTAAAACAAATTTTGGATTGGCGAATTTAATTTGTTGCAAATTAAATGTTTGAACTGAAAATGAGATATTATGCTTTCTATATTAATATGAAAATTGTATGATTATAATTATAATTTCGCAATATCAGCTTGTAATAATAAAAAATTATTAGAGATTTCTTTAGTTGATTTGTAATAAGTGATTAAATTTCAATCTCGTTATTAATTAATAAACAATCTTTTATTCGTGCGATTAAATGATACACATTATAATCGAAAGACTCAAGGTGGCCTTCATATTTGGATAAAAAAAAGGGAACTACTGTTGTACGAATCACTTTTTTATACAACATATAGTTCACAAGAAAAAGAGTTGAATGACTCACCCCTTATTATTGACCAAATTCTTCCGACTTCGTGTGCTTTTTACGGACGTTTCAGAGAAGATTTGCTACCACGATTTTACCAATTCTTTTCTTCCTTTTCGTCTCAGTTCCGTCTCTCTAATCTAAAAGTCGCATTTTTCCCGACAATTTTGTTCGCGAAAGGGCATTCTGTCCTCTGTAGGAGAAGGTAGCACTGTGCGTCGTTGCAGGGTGAATGAAACCACGGCTGCAAGGTGCATCGATTACAGAAAGGTGACGCTCTAATGGGTACATTAACGCGGGTCTTGTCGGCGGACCGGTTTGTTAATTCATGCGAAGAAACACCGCATCTTTTATTCGCTTCACTCAGTAAATTGCTAAACGAATTACTTACGCCCCTGATGAAAGAGACTCGCGGCGTTCTCGATTAGTGCTCGGTCGAGCTTATCCGTGCTTCCCTTAGTAATCGGCGCGCAGCCCCGATTGAGGTGTCTTCGGCTTACACCCTATTTCTGGATCAGTCACGAATATACGCGCCTGTTTCACAGCGTTTTCTGTGAAACGAACCCTAGGAGCTAACGAGACTTTGCCGCACGCTCGGTTGTCCTTTTAGCCTCTTAAAATAACCTTCTCTCCCTCGCGGCACCCTTCCCGTCCACTTTGAACTTTTGTCTGTGCGGTTAACAATTATGCTCGGCTCGTTCTCCCTCTTTTACACTCTCCTTCGTTTCTTTCTTTTTCTTTTTTGCGGACCGTTTGCACTGTTTATTAGTTGACGAGGTTCTTGCAATTTCATCCCCCACGTTTCTTGTTAGCGGATAGGATGCGCGTGACGTTTCCCTGCTAATTATCTAATTTCCACTGTTCCCGAGCACCTTTTATCGCGGATCAGGGTTACGACTACTCTCTAAGAAGAATTGGTAACTTTCCTAACCGTGAATTAGGGTTGCAGACTTCTTAGTGCTCCAGTGTCAACCCTTAGTACGTTGCTGAATTAATCATTATTTCTATTTCTACTATACGATCATGAGTGATTATTATTACTTTATTTATTAAGAATTTTTATTTATTTTATTTTTATTTATTTTATTTTCTCTGTTCTCGAGTTCTTTTTCTTCATCTTCTACTGTATTTTTTCTTTTATTACATCATCTCTTTTCTTTTCTCTTCACTGTTTTTTGATGTGCTACTTGTGGATCTTTATGCAAAATAAAAATGTTCTGGCTTAATTGCAAGAAACAGGTGTCAGATATACATTAAATTCTTACATTAATAATTTTGATAAGTTGAAAATAGTAAAACGATATTATCTAATTCTTAATATATTATATTATCTACATCTTTACAATATTCTATTTCAACTATTCATTCTTACCACAAATGCATAAAATCCGCAGTCTAGTGATAAATCGTCCACTTTAAGGCGAGCAATAATTCAACTGATTTCCCAAAATGTCTCAGCAGAGATTTCATTAATTACTAAAGGAATAAAATGTCAAATATGTTAAACATTTCTCACGAATTCGCCTAAAATTTATTTCTACGAAATAAAGTTTTATAATCGTCGCAATCTATTGTTCGCATAATCAGTGTGTTCCGATGAATTCGTGTAACTTCAGTAGAAAGAAACGCATGCAATGTAGTCATTCGCATACGAATTAATGTATCTGATCGTTCTAAACGTCAGAATGTTAGTCTATTAGAAAAAGCAATCCACCGTAATTGCAGCTTAAAGCGATTCGAAGTAATTGCTAGTCCATCACTAACTATTTCTAAGAGTTTCATCGGAATCATTGAATAGTAAATTTGCAAGCATCGGGAACAGGCAGGCGTCAAGCTTAGCGAACTTACATGATGGCCTGGCGCGTGTTGACAGAACTGCAGATGACACGTGGAGGCGGCAGCGCAGAGGAGGTTACTTTGTTAGTGCAGGTGGGGTAGGTATTGGGAAACGAAGGGTTGATGGGACACAGTTGGTAAGGAATTTTGCACGACATGAAATCGTTCTTATACTCTCTGATAATCAAACTAATTTCTTCAAATTTTGTTGAAAAAAAGTCTTCAAAATATCTTTAATATTTGAAACAAATATTTATAATAATGTTCAACTATTTTAGTTTCAACAGTATTCGATAATTTGCTGCTAGATTTCACGAGTGCAAAAAGCTTGAACACATTGTTTTCGAAAATGAACACAAACTTGACGGTAGCGCAATGCTTTTTCACCTGAGTTTTGGAGATTTGTACCTGTTAATCTTTGCCACACAAAAAATCCTTGTTATCTCTATCTTTTTTTCGCGATTTGCCGCTTTTTGTGGTATGTACATCACACAGAAATGTAATAAGAAATGAACATTCATACTAGACGAATTTTTTGAAGCAAGATAATATTCTGCATGCATTTGTATGTGACAGATCTGTCCTTGAATCGAGTATTTAAGTACATAGTTAATGTCAATGTACATTTTATAACATCAACTCGTCTGGTTTTCAATAATAAAAAAAATACAATCATCTTNCGTTAAAAAAACTTCTTTGTTATCATTAGACTGCAGATATTTATGCAAAATAAAAATTCTCTGCCTCAATTGCAAGAAACAAAATTTAAATAACAAGTTCTTCTTTTTTTTTAATAATTTTAATAAATTAACAATAATACATTGGCATTTATACGTTCTTTTAATTTTTCGATTATTTCAGATTGCAAGCATTCGGTTTTTACTATACATGCAGCTATTGGCATTAAATTGATTTGTGTATTTTTATCATGAAAGGTGCAGTTATGGTAAACTAACCTGATGGACAAGAGCTAAAGTTTGGTGACTCCAATCGTTAAACGCTGTGGCGACTCCGTAATGGTATGGCGTTATTTTAGTAATGAACAAGTGGGGAATTTAACTATTATTCGGAGCATACTAACTAGGACAAAGTATGTTGAAATATATTGCGGGGAAATTTGTTATCCTCGAGCCAATGATTAACTGGGACCAAACGGGGTGTATTTAGACGCTGAAAATAATTTCTGTGGGATAAACGATATTAATTTATTGTTAGAACTAGCTCGGACTCCAGATTTAGATTCTATTGAACATTTAGCACAAGAAGGATCGGTATATCACATTACCATGAAAACTACAATGGAAAATAGTTGAGGTCTTTTATACAGGATGTCCAAAAATTATAGTATTTCCGGGAAATGAGGGGTTCCTGAGGTAATTTAAAGTAACTTTTTCCTTAGCGAAAATGCAATCTGCAGCTTTGTTTATGAGTTATTAACAAAAAACGCTGACCAATAAGAGGCGAGCTCGCCTAGCGCTAGGTGGCCGAGCCAATCAACTGAACTGGACTTACACCGCTCATTGGCTCTGCCACCTTGCGCCAGCTGAACTCGCCTCTCATTGGTTACTGTTTTTCGTTAATAACTGGTAAACGAAGCCGCGGATTGCAATTTCGCCAAGGAAAAAGTTACTTCAAATGATCTCAGGAACTCCTCGTTTCCCGGAAGTACCATAATTTTGGGACAACCTGTATACGAAAATCGCAATACTTTACTGGCTGGTTATGAATAGATTAATTAAGCTTTCGACAACTGTAAATTTGGTGGTAAATTATGTAATGAACGTAATCATATGACCGTATAAATTTGCTGTACAAAATGCATTTACACAGTGAAGTGGTATAATGTAATAAATATAAAAGCAGGAGAAACATTCACAATGTTGTGCAATGCATTTAGGCCTTTTTAAAAATTCGTTTACCAGAAGCTTATCTCTGGATCGACAATTATGTCGATTTTTATGCGAATATAAAACGCTCTACATTATTTTATAAGGTAAAAAAATATTCGGAATTTTATTTCTTGTATTGACAATCTTGAAAAATTAAAAGCAGGTAAAAATCCCATTAAATTCGTATTCAAGTATTTCTTTCGTCATAAAAAATGTATAAAATCCACAATGTACCATAAAATCTTTTTCCATCGAAGTATTTCTTTTGTTATTAAGGAATATATAAAATTCACAATCTAGCATATCTTTCAAAGTCAGATATTGGTATAAATATTGGACATTTATTAGTCAGAAATAATAAAAGTGATTATAATAAAAGTATTAATAATAATAAGTGTATGTAAAGTACATAAAGTATAAAAATAGAGGTGAAGTAAAAGGTCAAGAACTTTAATGTAAAAGTACGGATTTATGTAAAATTATTAACATAATAAAAGTAATCGTCAATCATTTGTTGCTTCTGCAGAAAATTCAGCTTCTTATATGCAGAATGAAATGCAGTAATACTTTTCTCAGATTAAAAGCAAAAAAGTTGGCAACTTCTGCGAAGATTTTCCCTCTTTCCGTGAACTGTTCCTTATCTATGTTCACTTCAACAAGGATACAGAGACTGTACTGTCTCGGTGGTAGTGAACATAGATGCGACACGAGTGTCTCAGGAGAACATGTTGAACGCCGTGGAAGCGATAAACTTTTAGATTTTGACCCGGAAGGTATTATTGCACTCAGCTGCACTGTATCTTAAAATATTGGAGTAGCCAGTGTTAAAACATTTATTTAAATGCCTCGAGTCGCTTCTGTCGTGCTATTATGACTTTGTGTACCATTGTGACCTGAAAGTTCATCGGCAATTCTTTTCACTTATTTTTCAATGGTTGCACTTTGATCTTGAAAATTGGTTTTATAATTCTCAGTTGGGATTTGGTGTTACCATTAGAAATTCTGAAATAATTTTGCTGTGTAACGAATCTCTAAAATTGATATTATAAGTTTTAGTTCATAATTGGTATCGCAGCTATAATAATCTCTGAAGTAAGTTTACTATGTAACTAATCTTCATTGTTGGTAATATAGTCTCACTTCAGAATTGGCGTTACAATTTAATGATGGTTTTTACAATTATGGTTTTTAATATAACTTTGCTATGGAACTAATTTTTGAATTTGATATTATAATTTTTATTTGAGAATTGGTATTATAATTTTTATTTAAGAGTTGGTATTACAATTTTTATTTGAAAATTGATAATTATAGTTTCTAAGTTAATTTTGCTAAGAAACTGGTAT